AACGCACAGTATTTGAAAGAAGTTTATAGAGCTGGTGGTAGGAGAGTGAGTAAGGTCCCCTCTGAAGGCCTCTGTTTTCTCCCTGGATTGTTAGGTGAGGTCATGAGCTGAGAGGAAAGGGGTCTCCATGGAGGCCCTAGGAGGGGATGGCTTGATGAGAGAGGGGAGAATATGAAACAGACATCTCTGAGAGTGGGAAACTTATTAGAGAAACTTAATGGATTGGAGGTTTGTGGTCATTAGTTTAAAGCAAAACTCTCTCTCTTCCTCCCTCCTTCCTTTCTTCTTTGCTATGTGGGGCCCAGTGAGATATGAGGGCAGGCAAGGTGGCTAGGCAATACTACACATATTGGATATGATATATAATAATGGGAGCTGGGGTTTCTCACTGTCAGAGAAGAGAAGCACATCCAGGGGAGACATTTTAGCTCTCATTTGCCTTAACTAAGCCAGACGCTGAACTTTCCTCTCTTCTTGCAGCACTCCTTCATTTTGCTACTGTGACATCACATGCATGTATCTGCTCTTAATTTTCTGGCAGTCTATCTTGTGTCCTTTCCTAGTTCTTTTTCCTCTTAAATGTTGGTGCTTTGTAGGCTTTATCCATTGCTAGATTTTCTTCCTACACCACATTTTCTCCTGGGCATCAGTCATTCTCATAGTTTCCATTAAATCTCTATGCAAGTGACTCCCCAAATTTATCTGCATCCCAGATCTCTCTCCTAAGCTCCAGACTCAAATATCTCCCTGCTGGTCACCTCCATTGGGATGTTTAATAGGTTAGAATTCAACACACCAAAAATTGAACTGTTTTCAACCAATCTACTCCTTCCACCTCCTCCCGGATTCTCCATGTCAGTGAACAATACAATCATCCATTTGATCTTCCAAGCAAGAATCGTGGGCATGAACATTGCCTTTGCTGCTCCCTCTGCTTCATTGCCCCAACCTGGTTCAGACCAACTGTATCTCTTGCCAGGACCCTAAGACGGCTTCCTGCCTTATCTTTCTGCTTTTGGTTTCTGCTTGCCCGCCCTCACCCCCAAACTTCAAGTTTTGTGTTGCACATTACACAGAGCACACAGTGGGGTATTTATTGTTTTAGGAGTGGCCTCTCTACTTCCTTCATCTTGTTTTCCCCAACTCATCAGGCACAAATCCTTCAATCAGAGCTCTTGGGGACACTGACTTGTAGCTACCCCTCCCTGTCAGAATGAAAATTTCCCACAGGATTCCTCCATGGTCTCTTTTCTTTTTTTTATTTTAGCATATTATGGGAGTACACATGTTTAGGTTACATATGTTGCCTTGCTATCCACCCCAAGTCAGAGCTTCAAGCGTGTCCATCCCACAGATAGTGTGCATCGTACTCATTATGTATGTATATACCCATCCCCTCCTCCCCATTCCCACCTGCCTGATGCCAGATAAATGTTATTCCTATATGTCCACTTATGTGTTGATCAGTGAAACCAATTTGCTGATGGGTACATGTGGTGCTTATTTTTCCCTCCATGGTTTCTTGAATTCCCTCTGCTCCACTCTGTCAGGGGCCCTCCTCATATTCTCTGTAGCCTCCAGCTCTGGTTGTCAGGCATTCTATTCCATCTAGTCAAATTCTAGAATCTAGATAAAGCCAAAAGGTTTGGATCATTGTGGTGAGCAGGGTTCGGGTCCTGTAGGAAGTGGTCTTTCTAAAACAAAACTAATGACTTCTCACCATCCTAAGGACAAATCCAAGTTCCTTAACTTGGCTTATAGGAGACTTCCTTTCTTCCCAGCCTAAGCTCTAAGGACTCCTTATATAGTCACTGAAATTCCAGTTCGCCAAAACATGTAACTGTTTTCTTGATTATAGACCTTTGGATATGATGGTACCTCTGCTTGGAATACATTTCCCCTTCCTTCTTCACTTACACGTAGAAGCTGGTCCTTTGTAGATGTCTGATTACATGTCTCTTGTTTTGTGAAGCCTTTCCCCAAGGTCTTACTCCCCACCCCCCAACAAATCAGTTGTTCCTGGTCCCCTCCATCATCCTTTGCCACTGCTGTGGAGCCCTTCCTGGCCTGACTGGCTGGTGCCTGTCGAGTGGTTGGCGTGCTTTGCCGGTCTGCAAGCTGTCTGTGGAAGAGAGCTTACATTCTCATATTTCTCTCAGGTTCCTTCCTGGCATAATGCGGGCACGGAGCTCTCAATATTTGTTCATACACATCACAACTGCCAATTCCATTTTTTTCTAGTTCCAATTTTTGATAACTGTTTTCCAAACTTAGCCAGAATTTGCTTCCCAATACCTTCTTCTCATTTTAGGTTCTGCTCTTGTGGAAGTGCTCTCTTTGAAGGTGACTTACACAGGCAGACGTGGGAGCAAATAAGTGCCAAAGAAGGCTCAGTTTCAACCAGAAGATTATAATGTTTGTACTTTGGATGGAGGTGGGGAACAGGGTCACCAATGACATTTTAGGGCAAAAAGTTTCTGTCCTAAAATTTTGAAAATGATTGTACAAGCTATAAGTGGCTTCCTCAAGACTATCACCATTACATACTTGCAGTGCTCCCCTGCCTAATTTTGATAGTTCTAATTCAAACATTTTAGAAAGAATCTGCATGATATACTCGGTATAGATTAATGTTCATTCAAGTGCCAACTCTTGAAACTTGGCATTTCTTTTAAAATCATTTTGAAGAAATCACAGTACCTTTGTATCTTACTGTATATTCTTACATAGTTTACCTTTGAATGATGTGGGAGTTAGGGGCACTAGCCCCCCGACAGTCGAAAATCTGTGTATAACTTCTGACTCCCCCAAAACTTAACTCTCATAGTCTACTGTTGACTGAAAGCCTTACCAATAAAATATAAACAATTGATGAACACATACTTTATATGTCATATGTATTTACATACTACAGTCTTACAATAAATCTAGAGAAAAAAAGTTATTAAAAAGTCATAAGAGAAAATGTATTTGCTACTATTCATTAAGTGGAAGTGGATCATCATAAAGATCCTCCACCTACCCATCTTCATGTAGATTAGGCTGAGGAAGAGGAGGGGGCGGTTGGTCTTGCTGTCTCAATGGTGGCAGAGATAGAAGAAAATCCATATATAAGTGGACAAAGTTCAAACCCATGTTGTTCAAGGGTCAACTGTAGTTTTGAATTTCCCCCTGAGCATTAGACTCAACCTCTGAAAAAAGAATTTTGTCAACTCTGAAAATGCAGACAATTCAGCTGACCTTGTTTTGTAGTATCAATCAAAAAAGACTATACTGTTTTGGGGTTTTCAGAGAAAAGATAACCTTTTGTGACTGATAATTCACAGCTTACTTATGCTGTACTTGGGTTCTTTTCACCAGTAGACCAGACATGTTAAAAACAGGGGGCGTGATATAATAGCACAAAATAATCTTACTTTATCAATGCCATGGAAGAAAAGTTGATCTGGGGATCTACTCACTCACTGTGAGACCAGTGACATAGCCAAATACAAATCTAATATTATTCTTTAGCCCCTATTTAGCATTTTGTTCAAATCTTGAGAAAAACTATTATATGTCTTGCCTGTAGGCAAATATATCACTAAGTTTATTTCCTTTTTGATAGGATTAAACAATCAAGGAAATGGAATAGTATAATTTTTCTATTCTTGGTGATTCCATGGTGGACTCTTTCCTCTTCCCTTTCTAGAAGGTCACCATCTAACCTATTAGAGTTCTCCAGAGAAACAGAATTATGTGTGTGTGTGTGTGTGTGTGTGTGTGTGTGTGTAATGGGGTTGGCTCACATGAAATGATTACAGAGGCACAATCTGGTGTCTGCAAGCTGGAGAATGAGGAAAGTACGTGGTATAATTCAGACTACTCTGAAAGCCTGAGAACTAGGGGTCGAGAGGAGTAGGGGTGGGGCTGATGTTTTAAGTCCTACTTCAAATGTAAAGACCCAAGAACCAGGAGCACAAATGTCCAAGGGAAGGAGAAGATGGATGTCTCAGCAAAAAAAGAGACAGCAAATTTGCCCTTCTTCTGCCTTTTTATTCTATTTGGGTCCTCAACAGGTTGGATAATGCTCACTCACATTGGGGAAGGCCATGTGCTTTACTCAGTTCACAAATTCAAATGCTAATCTCTCTGGAAACAACATCACAGACACACCTAGAAATAATGTTTTACTAGCTATCTAGGCATCCCTTAACCAGTCAAGTTGACATATAAAATCAGCAATCACACATGGGAAGAGTCAGAGCATGAGCATGCCAATAAAAGCTTAAGTAATAATGATTTTATCAAGTACTTATCTTTCCAGGCTAAAAGTTGTATTTTAGAATACAAAATGGGAAGGGCAGATAACTTTTGTTTGTGAATTTCCATTTCTATTTTCCTACTGTGGTAAAAATAATTTTAGCAAAATAATTTTTAAGTTAATCTTATAATAGACATGTAATAGCACAACATTATAGAATGCAGATAATTTCCATATCACAGAATCTTTTTGTTTTCCAAAGTGTTTAGAAGTCAGTCTTCTTAGTCATATTTGATAATGAGGATAATGAAGTTAAGCGACTTCCCCAAAGTCACATAAGAATTTGATGGCACAGTTGAGACTAAATCGTGAGACTCAAGATTCCCAGACCATCACTCTTTCTGTAACAGAACTGTGATTCTCAAATAATTGAAATGCTTATCATAAAAAAGGGAATCATTAGAATGAAAACACTGGCCAGGACAGAGCAATCTAATGGCATTTTATTTCGTATAAACGCTTCTCTCTTCAGTTTTAACTATTTGAAAAAATTGTGGTCAGTCAGATCTTTATCTTAAGAACTGGGTTCACACATGAATAAGCAAGGTATAATATATTAAGAATTTTTACAACTTTAAAGTGTGACTTACCCAAAAGATCTTGCCTCTTAAGTATAAACTGCTCAGTTATTGCTCTTCCCCACCCAAGAGAAAATGGATTGGCAAATGGGGACAGAATATTGACACAGAAAAACATGCAGAAATTAGAACACTTTATTATAAACATTTCCAGAATATAAACTGATTTTGTATCAAGATTCTTTGAAACTTTTAAAACTATATGTAACCTAAGCTTATTATTATAATGTATTTCATTTTCCATTTTCCAACCTAGAAAATACACTGCAAGTTAGATCTAACAAAGGAAAAAAATAAATTGCTTCATAGAGAAAACCAATGAACATAAAAATACCCAATTCAAAACTATAACAAACCCAATCAAGAAATAGATTCTGCAAAGTCTATTGATCCTCCAATTTAAAATAAATAGCCTCTCAAGGGAAAATAAATCCTGCCATCCAAGCAATTTGATGAATAAAAGCAGAACCACTCTCATTAAGGGAAATAACATTATATGTAAGAAAAGTGTAATAATGTTTTTAGAAAATGAGGAAAAGTAATTTCTGTGTTGGATAGTAAGCATACTAAATACTTTCTGTTCATTGGCCTCTGTTCACATGAGAAAAGTGATATGAACATGAACATCATAAAACCAAGCTCCTCAACTAGTTTTTCAATTTAACTTTGGGAGAACCAACTAAAAAGCTTCAAAATCCAAGGATAGACTGGTCCCAAAGCATTTCCTCCTCTGTCCTTTCTTTGCCTTGTTCCTTTTTCTCTTTCCTACGCTTACGTTCCTCTTTCTTAGAGGCTACATCTCGGCTTTTTTTCTCCTTTCGATTTTTAAGCTTTTCTGTACTGACCTGTACAGTTTCTTTTTCCACCTCTGTTTCCTTTCTTTGGATGCTCTTGTGTTTGTCTAAATCAATTTCCTCACAACTTCTTTTCCTCTTATGCTTGGGCTGTTCCTCCTTGGGTTTTTCTCTGCCTTCCTCTGGGTGCCTTTTCCTCTTTGGATGCATCTGTTTATGACTGGCATGATGAGTACTGGCACTGTAATCTGAGGAGAGGTGCTTATAAATTCCAGATTCTACACTGTATGAGCCACAATTATATTCTTGCTGACTAAAGTTCGGGGGTGCTGGTTTTTCTGAGAAACAGTCCCTGGTGAATTGACAGTAGCTCAGAGAGTCTAGTCTCAGCCTGCTATCATGGGCTGGTAACCACTGAGGCAACCGATTTTCCACTGTTTGTGAAATATTGCATGATCTCGGGTAGGTCTGGACGGTTTCAGATGGGAGTCTTTGATCAAGCATTCTGTACATGGGTCTGGGATCAACCTCTTCTTTGTACCCATAGGTTTCCCAACAGTCCTCTCTCATCTTTCTGAAACAAGTTTTTGGCTCTAAACCTCTGGCTTTCTGTACTTTAATATAATCTTCAAGTTCATCTTGAAAAGAGTCATATGTCTTCTTTGAATGCTTCATTAGGTTGACAAAAAGGGATTCTCTGCAGAGAAGATGGGAGAAAATTCTTACTAGATTATTTTGTTCTGGATATTTCCTTTGATCTTGAAAAGAACTTCAAAAAACAAAGAAGCTCAAATTAAAAGCTACTTCAGCATAAAAGTTAAATATCCTGACATTATATGCCAAAAAATAGTATCAGGATGGTTACATACCAGCCAGGCCACTCACAAGTAACTACCCATCTGGAAGTGGGGGAAAAAGGGCAGAACGGAGGTGACATATAGGACACTGTTGCAGGGCTTGGATATGCAAGACATGTAGGGATGTGTAGACAAGAACCACACATCTGCGGTAAGTGGCCTGATCTGAATGTTCAGGTAATCTCTAAAGTTCGGATTGATCAGTTTCCTGCATATTGTTTTCTAAGAGAAGTAACAGAACCATAGAGAAGTAATTGGATTTTAAAATTTTTCAATTTCCTCAAGCAAAATAAAATAAACATACATACTCACCTGACTACAGTACTATAAGACTTAATAATAAAAGGATGTTTGTAAAATGGTTTGGGAATGTTAGAGATTAGGAACTCAGCTATAAGATGAAAACTTCTTGAGGGAACATGAGGGAACAGAGTTCTGTATCTTCTGTATAGGGCTTAGATTTCATTCTACCACTTCTGATTGGTGAAAAAAGCATTCTAGAATGCCTTCTGGTTTGTTCTCTTAATGTACTGGTCAGAAGGTTAAGGAAAGTAACAGAGGTGAAAACTGAGAAGAGACAGGACTGATGTAGAGAAAAGATTCAGAAGAAATTCAAAAGTAGATAGAGTTTTTGTTTGCTTGCTTGTTTGATTCTTTTTTGTAGGGATAGGCAACACTGTTCCTGGTTCTCTTTCTTTCCCCCAACTCAAATCCTGCATAAGTACAAATACAGCAGGAAATGTACTTACTATGAGATGATAATGCCCTAGCTATTTCTGGTGATATATCTTATCTCCAAAAATTAGGAGGCAGTATATGCCATGTAGAAATGAATATTTCTCCCCTTTAACAGAAGCAAATAAGCCTGACATAGCATTTTAGAGTCTAACTAATGATCAGCTATGTTTTCCCTAGAAATTTGAGATTAAAAAAAATCTAAATGAAGCCTAATTTGGTGAGTTAGAAAACTTAGCTCCTATTCAACTTAAGTAGTATAAAAAATTCTGACCAGAATAATAACAACGAATAAGATAAATACTTGCTTAAATATAGGTAAAATATTTTAACTGACACTTCTGAGCTATGATAACACCACTGTACTCCAGCCAGGGTGACAGAATGAGACTTTGCCTTCAAGAAAAGTAAAAAAACAAAACCCAGAATATATACAAATGGCCAATAAGCACATGAAAAAAATGTTTAAAATCATTAGTTATCAAGAAAATGTGGCTCCCCCCACACTCATAAACACACTTTCACTCTCTCTTTCTACCATGTGAGGACATAGCAAGAAGATGTCCATTTGTAAGCCAGGAAAATAGCCCTTGCCAGAATCCAATCATGGCTAGTACACTGATCTCAGACTTCCCAGCCTTCAGAACTGTGAGAAATAAATGTCTATCATTTAAGACAAAAAAAAAAACAAAACACAAAAAAGAAAGAAAGAAAGAAAAAGAAAAGAAAAAGAAAGTGTGAATTAAAACCACAATGAGATATCACTATGCATTCACTAGAATGACTAAAATTAAAAAGACTATAATATTAGTGTTGGTGAGGATATGAAACAAATGGTAGGAATGTCAAATGGTACAACCACTTGGAAAACAGTTTGGCAATTTGGTAAGAAGTTAAACATACACCTACCATATGATCTACTCCTAGGTATTTACTCAAAAGAAAAGGAGATATAGGCCAGGCGTGGTGACTCACGCCTGTAATCCTAGCACTCTGGGAGGCGGGAGGATCATTTGAGCTCAGGAGTTTGAGACCAGCCTGAGCAAGATCAAGACCCCGTCTCTACTATAAATAGAAAGAAATTAATTGGCCAACTAATATATATAGAAAAAATTAGCTGGACATGGTGGTGCATGCCTGTAGTCCCAGCTACTTGGGAGGCTGACACAGTAGGATCGCTTGAGCCCAGGAGTTTGAGGTTGCTGTGAGCTAGGCTGACGCCATGGCACTCACTCTAGCCTGGGCAACAAAGCGAGACTGTCTCAAAAAAAAAAAGAAAGAAAATATTTTTGTACAGCTGTACAATGTGCTGTTTTAAGCTAAGTGACATTGCCAAACAGTTAAACAGTTAAAAATTTAAAAGTTTATAAAGTAAAAATTTACTGTAAGCTAAGGTTAATTTATTATTGAAGAAAAAAATTAAAAAAAATAAATTTAGTATAGCATAAATGTACTTGAACAGTGTTTATAAAGTCAACAATAGTGTTTAGCAATGTCCTAGGCCTTCATATTCACTTACCACTCACTCACTGACTCACCCAGAGCAACTTCCAGTTCTGCAAGCTCCATTCATTGTAAAGTGCCCTATACAGGTATATCATTTTTAATCTTTCATCAGTATTTTTGCTGTTCCTTTTCTGTTTAGATAGGCTTAGATACACAAATACTTACCATGTGTTACAACTGTCTATAGTATTTAATATAGTAACATGCCGTAGTACAGGTTTGTAGCCTAGGAGTAATAGGCTGCACCATATAGCCTAGGTGTATAGCAGCTATATGTCTAGGTTTGTGTAAGTACCTTCTGTGATGTTTGCACAATGATAAAATTGCCTAATGATGCATTTCCTGAAATGTATTCCTGTTGTTAAGTGATACATGACTGTATATATCTATACAAAGACTTGCACATGAATGTTCACAGTAGTATTATTTGTGATAGCCCCATAAAAGAAAGAAACCCAAATGTCAATCAACAGGTGAATGGATTAAATCAAACAATGGAATAATCATACAATGGAATAAATACCATCAGTGATAAAAAAGGAATGATCTATACTGATACATACAACAACATGGGTGAATTTAAAAATAATTACAAATAATGACAATTATTTTTTACTATTCATAATAGTATTAGTAAAAGCCGCCTAACAAAAGAGTATATACTATATGATTCCATTTATGCAAAACTATAGAAAATGCAAACTAATCTATGGTAAAAGTGGTTGCTTGGACATGAGGCAGGAAAGAGGTGGGAGGGAGGGATAATAAAGGGGCATTTTTGGGGGTGATGGGTATGCTCATGATCTTGATTGTGGTGATCATTTCATGGACATATACATTTGTCTAAACCTATTAAATTATATACTTTAAATGCATACAGTTTATTATATGCCAACTATACCTTGATAAAGCTGGTTTTTTTTTTTTGAGTGCCATGGCATCAGCCTAGCTCATAACAACCTCAAACTCTTAGGCTCAAGCAATGCTCCTGCCTCAGCCTCCCGAGTAGCTGGTGGCACATGCCTGTAGTTCCGGGAGGCTAAGGCTGTAGGCTTGCTTGAGCCCAAGAGTTAGAGGTTGCTGTGAGCTAGGCTGATGCCATGGTACTGTAGCCCAGGCAACAGAGTGAGACTCTGTTTCAAAAAATAATAATAATAATAATAAGATAAACAAAATGTGGTATATTCATATAAGGGAATATTATTCAGCACTAAAAAGGAATGAAGTACTGATACATGCTACAGCATGGATGAACCTTGAAGACATTATGCTATGTGAAAGAAGCCACCCTATGGATGGCACAGATATGAATAAAGAGGTGAATGGAAACTTACCCTTATCAGGCTGAGAACTTGGTGGAGAAATCTGATCATATTCACTCATAAATTGCCTCAGTGCCTCAGTTTTTCAGCATGAGCTTTCCCCAAATAGTAGAAACTATGCAATAACTGGAGACCTAAAAACCAAGATGCAGAGATTACAAAATCTATTTTTGTCCAATACTGCACTCCCATTCATCTGAAACCAAATACAATCTTACTATAAAGATTAAATAATTCAAAGTTTATAATTATTTTATCAATATAGACCAGTCATCTGAAAATCTTCATTTTGCTATTTTGCTTCTTGTAAATTTGAAAATAAAGCCCAACTTTTTAAATGTTTAAACATACTTTATTTTTTATAATCTATTTTATATAGCTGTATTTTATTTTTAATTAATAATTGTATGTATTTATGGGATACAATGTGATGTTTTGCTACATGTATATAGTGTGGAATGATCAAATCAAGCTAATTAGCATATTTATCACCTAAAATATTTATCATTTCTTTGTAGTGAAAACACTTAAAATGGACTCTTTTAGCTATTTTGAAATATACATTATTATTAACAATAGCCACCTTGGTGTGCAATAGAACACCAGAACTTATTGCTCTTATCTAACTGTAAAAAGTTATTTGTACCCCTGACCGATCGATATCTGTCTTTTCTCTGTCTCCACCCTCTTACTCCCTGCCACCCTCTGGTAACCACCATTCTACTCTCTACTTCTGTGAGTTTGACTTTTCTAGATCCTACATATAAGTGAGATTGTATGATATTTGTCTCTGTGCTTGTAAAGGCTAATTTTTTTAGCATGTTTTTTTTTCTCCTCGAAAAATATGTAGCATTTTGTTTAAGAATAAATTATCCCAAATTTACACATCTGAATTTAAAAATAGCACTCATGAGTTTTAATATATTTGCTCTGAACCAAGAGTTTACAAATAGAGTTTCACTTGCTTTCAAATCAAAGCATCAGCTCAGTAGAGATAATCCTATGATTTAGGACCCAATAATTTTTATGTTCCTGCTTGTGACAGAAACGATCAGTTGCCTCCCAACATAATTTTTCTTCTTCCTGAGTAACAAACCTTAGGAAATGTGCCTTGTTAAAAGACTACATTTTATGGCCATTCTTAAAGCAAGATGTGGCCATATGAATAAATTCTGGTCAATTAGAAGAAAGTTCAGGTACTGTGTAGGGCTCCAGGAGGGCTCCTCCCTCCTGCTGCTGGAATGAAGATGCCACGGTTGGAGCTGCAATAGTCATCATGGAACATAAAGAAGGGAGAACCTCAGAGCAAAGAGATAGAAAATGCCTGGGTCCTCTCTGATGACATCATGGGCTGTCATAATAGACTTGCATTTCCTAACCCCAAACTTCTTTTAAGTGAGAGAATGAATAAACCCTTATGGGTTCAAGCCATAATATAAAATAATCTCTGAATAAATTTAAAGCCAACCACGTAAGAGTAAATAAAATGTCAATGTAGGTGAAAAGCAAACTCACAATTTTGGAGCACGAGTATGAATAATTTTTATTTTCGGTGTTTTCATGTGTTTTCTACATTGACTATTACTTCATAACCCTATGAAAGTTATTTTTAAAATTTCAGTGCAACTCAAGTTATCACAGAGCCCTTTGACTATCTTTCGTTAACCTTATATCTCTCCCTGAGCCCTGAAGACTGAGAATATGATAGACACCCTCACATATTTGATTTCAGTTAATTTTCACAATTATGGCAAGACAGAGATGACTACTCCCATTTTGTATGTTCAAGAAACATATTCAGGTAAAAGTGACTTGCCCAACGATTAATGGTGGAGCTGAGAATTAAATCCAAGTCCTCTCAATTCAAGACAAAGACATGACTGTACCTTAAGCCCAACCAAATATGAACTAAAATGCAGTTTCTGACAAGATTACCAATGGGGAAAACTAGAGTTCTTTAAGAAAGTACAGCAGGTCTTATGTTTCACTTAAGTAAATGTCTCTAGTACTTTTGGTATTGCAGCCAGCAGAGACAGATAAGATCTAGTAGCTCATCCAAGTCTCAGATGACATATATGAAGTTTACTTGCTATATTTATAAAGCTACTTTAAGACACAGTCTATTTTCAACCTACCTCATAATATGAAATCCTTTGTTATTCAAACTGTAACACTACTCCACAGACGTCTTTGAACTTTTTGTAAAAAGTTCAATCTTCATTCGTTCAATTATGGTCTCTAGGAATACAATAAAGGGAGGTAAGATGCAAGATTACATTAAACACTTAAGGCAATATTTTCAATCTTTAACTAGTATCATTTCATATAACACCTCAAATCTTAATTTCCTGAGTGCTTGCAAGGCTACAGTTAATGACTTTTGTGCTCATTAGAATGGCAATTTTGGGCCAGGCATGGTGGCTCACGCCTGTAATCCTAGCACTCTGGGAGGCTGAGGCGGGAGGATAGCTCAAGGTTAGTTCAAAACCAGCCTGAGCAAGAGTGAAACCCTGTCTCTACTAAAAATAGAAAGAAATTAATTGGCCAACTAAAATATATATAAAAAAAAAAACTAGCTGGGCATGGTGGTACATGCCTGTAGTCCCAGCTACTCAGGAGGCTAAGGCAGGAGGATCCCTTGAGCCCAGGAGTTTGAGGTTGCTGTGAGCTAAGCTGATGCCACGGCACTCTAGCTTGGGCAAAATAGTGAGACTCTGTCTCAAAAAAAAAAAAAAAAAAAAAGAATGGCAATTTTGCCAGTTGCAGTTGCTCACACCTATAATCCAAGCACTTTGAGAGGCTGAGGCAGGTGGATCAGTTCGGGCCAGGAGTTCAAGATCAGCCTGGGCAACATAGCAAGAGCTGATCTCTACAAAAAATAAAACAATTACCTGGCCTAACCTGTAATCCTAGCTACTTGGGAGGCTGAAGTGGGAGGGATCACTGGAGCCCAGGAGTTCGAGGTTACAGTGAGCTATGATCATGCCACTGCACTCCAGCCTGGGCAAAAGAATAAGACCATGACTCTTAAAAAAAAAAAAAGGCAATTTTACTATAAAAACATTTAGTATGACTCTAATACGTTAACATATTTTTAGTCTTTAGAAAATGCCATTCTGAAGGAAAAGTTACTAGGGCACCCAGTAACTGGAGTGGACTTTATGGAAATGATTTGAGATACCAATATAGAAAGGCTGGGCTTGAGAGATCCAGTCTTGGCATTTTATGTTTTAAAGTGAACAATCTCAAGAAACACAGTCTGTTTTAAGATAGTCACTGATTCTAGATACACCACTAATGTTATCTGAGAATCACATGGAGGAACCACAAACCATCTTTACCCATGGTAGGCAATCTTCTTCCAAAGTTGGTACAAATACAACCACACATATTTCACTAAATAAGGTTCAGATAAGCTCTTCAAAGCTACAGTCATATTCACACAATAAGTTTTACAACTTTTGCTAAAAGTGTTTCTCACCATAATAACTATGCCACAATTACTACTACATTTACACTTGAGAACTACACTTCAATCTAAAGTTCCTAACAGCTGAAATTTGTTTTATAGAAGTTTACCAGTTTACAAATAGGATGCCAATCAAGTAGCATCAAAATTGCACTTTCTGTGCAGCTACTTAAATGAACTGAGTTGCAGCGCGGGTGGCTCACGCCTGTGAATTCCTCGCACTCTGGGGAGGCTGAGGGGGTGGACTGGCTCGAGCGCAGAGTCCGAAAACAAGTTCTGGAGCAGAGCCGAGACCCCATCTCTAGTATCATAGAAGAGCGCTTAATGGGCCAGCTGATAGTTTAGAAAAAATTAGCCGCGGCATGGTAGCACATGCCTGTAGTCCGTAGCCTCCTGCGAGGCTGAGCACGAGGCGTAGGCTCGTTTGAGCCTAGGAGTTTGAGGTTGCTGGAGCTAGGGGCTGATAGCCATGGACCCTCTAGCCGGGCAAAATGAAGTGAGCTCCTGCTCAAAAAAAAAAAATGTGAACTGAGTTAGAACCAATGTCCCAATGCAGAAATATCCGATGTATTAGGGGGAAAACAATTATGAAGAATTGTTCTTCCACTTTATACGGTGCTAATACATTACACAGTACCATACATCAGGCCTGTCATACTATAATATACAGGACACATGCTACTATATAAAGTCAAGTATCAATTGATTCTACCCTGAAAATCCACATATGTGGTATGGAGATAGCTCACGGATATACTGTCAGAGTAAACGTATTCCCTATACATTTGTATTACTGATAAGAGAAATTGATGCATTGGCATCTAAATCAGATCAACACTCACCTTCTGCTTCAGCAGACAGGCGAGGCAAGAAGGCCGGCGGTTGACGTGGTGCTCTGACGTAAAGGGCTCTAATGGTATAGTATATTTAATTTTTATGTATTTTACTTTTAAGCTTTATATGCCGCCGTATGAGCCTACTAGATCTATTTGCTAGGAAACCTTATCTGTACAATGCCTTAGCAAGATACTTTTGGCTAAGGTTAACTACAGTGAATAACCCAGAACTCATGCACATCTCTCCCTGCAAGAATGCCACATCAACGCCGTATACATTAAAGATGAGATTGATTTCACGAAATGCTAAACATTCCCCACTATGTGACGTTGATCCTTGATAAACTTTTACTTAGAATCTTATCTCATTATTCCTGAGCCAGAGATATCCATAGTCCAATGTGGAAAACATAGTCAGTAGATCCATCTTTTCATGTACCAGAATCTTCCTCCTGCTTCATGTTAAGTCTCTAGACTGCCCGTATCCTTGAAATAAGTTATTAAACCTTGATAATGGCTCAATATTAGATTAGATTCATCCCCGCGTCGATTCATATGAGTCTGATTTCGACAATCTGATCTTGTGTGTCTAGCTCAAGGTACTCTATAGAACATTTCCTGAAGAAAGATTTAGCATTGAAAACTTAATGGCCTTGGCGAGAAATTAGAATCAATGGGGGTAGCGAAATGAGTTAGCGAGAACATACTTAACACATCTGCTTTCGTGTACATGTCTATATTGCGAGTTTTATTTGTTTTACAAAACACTGATGACCTTTGTGAATTGAACTTTAGTAAAATATTTAAGGTGTTACTGGATATCTTCGAAGATAGCTTAAAAGAAAAAAAAAAAAAAAAAAAAAAAAAGAAAAAAAACTATATAGATAAAAAGAAATAAATAATAAAAAGTTGATTTAAAAAAGAAAAAATCATATATCGTGCTGCAAAGATCGCTCAGTGACTTAAATCAGACACTGTTTACAAAGGATTAAATAATACGTCAACAATGATATCTCTATGAGTGATACATAGTATCTCTCAAATATTTTTGAGTTGTTTTAAAATCTATAATGTAATTACATTGGACTAAAATCAGCAAGGTAAAGGTACTACCAAGGTTTCAGACCTCTCTTATCTCAGAGATTAAATGTACACAACACTGGCTGTCAGTGGCTTGTGACATTGAGCTGCTTCTGTACGTAAAAATCTGTTCAATAGGTCTGGGTAGCTGGTGGCATCAACCTCGTCAGTCTCAGCACTTTGCGGGGGCCGAGGCGGGCAGATTGCTTGGGTTCAGGAGTTCGAGCACCAGCCTGGCAAGAGGGGCGAGGACCCGTGTCTCTACTCATACAGGCAAATCATATCTAGCAACAACTAAAGCAGAAAGAAATTAGCGCGGCCAGTAGGGGTGCATGCCGTATAGTCCCAGCTCCTAGAGAGGGCTGGCAGCAGTAGCTCACTTGGAGGAGTTTGACGCGTTGCTGTGGCTAGGTGGCCTGCCACGGCACTCTAGCCCGAGCAACAGCGTGAGACTCTGTCTCAAAAAAAAGAAAATCTTCTTAAAATAGTATAATATTGTCTTTTGGGTGACAACACTAAAACTTAAGTAAGATGTAAAAGTTTACGATATGATAAATTTAGATAAAGATACGTAGTAAGTCTTACCTCTAGTATAGATGGAAAGTTTACTGAGGACTAGTCATTTAGAAGCTCAAGATATCTTGAATCATAGACAATTACCTGTCCTCTGGTCAATCCTTAATTGACGACTTTCATTTCTAAAGGGCAACTGCTGAAACCTGAAGAAAGTTTCGGGTGCCACCTTGTACCTCTGTCACCACTATCTCTATCCTATCCAGTCAAAATCTATCTTTTTCACCATCAACATCTTGTTATGCTAATTTAGCTGTATATGTTGTTTCAGAAGTATTCCTTCACTTTTCAATTCCTAAACACCATTTAGTTCAAGTTTTCCATGCTGTTGGGCTTTATTAAACTTTATACTTATTGAGTTTGTTTTCAAGGTATTCTGGTAGGTACTATGAGAAGAGATAGGAAAAAAAGAGTTGAACATTTATTGAATACCTACTGTAAGGCAAACAATAGGATTATCTTTCAGTCTTTTATCTCTGCAAGGTAAGTAGAATTTCCCATATTTTGAAAATTTGGATATTGGGATTCAAAGAAAGTAAAATACCTTGCCACGGTGTGTTATTTCATAGAGCCAGATCTTCAACCTTTTTTTTTTTTTTTTAATCTCACACTCTTCACTGGTACGCGCCGCGTACTTTAGCTGTTTCACACATTGGGAATGATAAGTGAACAAGAAAAATGTGAATATCGAGAAATTTACAATTTTGTAGAAATGATATGCAAAGGACTATGATAGAAGACAAAAAAGTGTTAAGTGCTATGAAAAATAAGGTATAATGTATTCTTGCTGAGGGGTTTGTGGAGAAGAATGGATTTTGAATTGACCCTTAAGAGATGGGTCAATTTAGAGAAAACAAACAAGAAAGGGTATTCTGGGGGAAAGAAGGGCATTAGAAAAGGCATTTCTGCATTAGATAAAACAAAATATAAGTAAAAGTAGTGAAAGACAATACTAAAGGTAGAATGGGACCACTCATAATAGGCCTTATTTGGGAATTAATTCTGCAGTCAATAGGGCACGAAAAGAGAATTAAAATAGGGATATTGTTAGGAAGCTGTTGTAGGCAAGAGATTATTGGGCTGCACCAGAGTGGTAGAGGAAACAGAAAGGAAGAGAATATGAGAGACAGTCTAAAGGTGGAATCAAAGGAATCTGATAGATGGGGAAAGAGCAGGTAGAAGATAGGAGGAGCATAGGTAATTCTGAAGCTTTGATCCTGGATAAGGTTATCTTTGTAAGAGAGAGTAAGGAAAAGGAAGAGTTATTATTGTTACTGTTG